CTCTCATATAGCTTGAACAGGTTGTTCTGCAAATAATTCTTAGAAGCTGACCCTGTGTTACCTTCACTATTGAACGTCCCACACTAACTCCCATTGAATAACTTGCTGATCGTGACTAGAATAACTACCAAGAGAACATATATGAGCTTCCACGTTACCTGGGTATCGTCGGCTGAACGCAATTTTCCTGTAATCGTGTTAAGTACATTTTGAGTGCGTTTGGACCAGCGATGATCTTCATCTCCTTCAACGGGCTCTTCTTCCTCAGCTACACGGCTACCCTAAGAAAGCCTGATTTAGTTTCTGTCAGTAATACTCAAAATCTATCTTTTCCTGGAGAAAGAGATGCAACAGGCGCAAAAGGGTAAGCGACTTTCGAGGCCCTGGGCAATGTCTGAGGCGCGCAGCAATAAGAACTGGTTGTTACGTTTCCATATTTGCTTTTCTCACTTCCTCTATTCAAAACTCAAACAATCAATAATGCCGCTACTTGGCATGCGTTGCAAATAGTGCGCAGCACTAAAGAATTCTTCCGCGACTGCATGGAAAAGTCGCATTTTCGCTGCACGAGAGACTTGATAGAATAACGCAACAAGGCGCTTTGCAAGCTTCAGGAGACAGCTAACGAGGGAGGTCGCGTCCTGCAGTAGAAAGGCAGTTCTAGAGCGTCCAGATTTATGGGCCGTTACATGAAAAGAGTGACTCCATTAGTAGTCTTTCAGTGATGCAATCACACACCAAACCTAGCACCGTCACCGCCAACAGAGCGTAGAAGCGAGGCTTTTGTTGGCTTGAAATAAAACGCATGCCGCCTCGTCCACACCGTGTTATCCTATGCAACCGATCTTGCGCAAGTATTCGTCACATCTAGCTGCTTCCTCTCCCTCGTATTCACAAGGCGGACCGACACTCTTTCAAACCACGAGTCGCAAATGTGCGACTATGGCCGTAGTGGGGACGTGAAATAAGGGTATATTTCGATACGGTACTGAACAAACCTCCAACTTGCGCTTCTTCTTCTCGCTGAGGGGAGAGAATTCATCCATGTATCTGATCTGAGTTTCTTCCACAGGCGCCTGCAGTTCAGTAACCACGGGCGTGGGTGATTCGGCGCCAATGGGTTCGAATGGAGCTGGACCGATGTCTTCATAATCATCACCATAGACGGACTCCTGTAAAGAAAGATGACTTTGTGTGGTATCTAACGCTACAACTTTTTTCTCAGAAAAATTCGCATATTTCTTGGGAACGACACCGATGTGTGCAGTGTTCGAAAGCATTTTTCAGACGCAAGTATTCGAAAGGGAACGGAGAAACAATGTGGTTTCACTGTCACTGGTCGCTATTGTGCACGTGCGAGTTGCGCTGTCGCTCTTCACAGCCGGAGCACTTGTCTCGTCTGTTTGTGCACCGGGGTTTGAGTCGCAGCTCGTGCCTGCGTATCCATACATATGTTCGTTTGTCGTTCGCGTTAGTGTTGCCACCAGCATCATTAACACCAACGCTTCGACACCCATCTGTAAACAAGAACCCGCAGCCACACACGCGCGAACTATAAGTCACCTATGCAAAAACAGCAGAGACCCTCTGCGAATGCGATGAACCACCTCATTCCTCGTTACGGTATTCGTGACCTCGTGCGTGTTGCAAAGTCCAAAGACAATCGCGCGCCAAGGACTCGCGCGGTATTGCCGAAATCCCACCACCTCGGTGTGGGGGCGCGGTGGTAAAGCGCTTATGAGGGCTATATATCTCTGAGGACACAAAAACGCATACCTAATCAGGGTTAGAGGGAACGCTGCGGTGGGGTGCAACGAATCCGTAAGTG